TTCTAGCAGCTTCTCATAGAAGCCACCCCCTCTGCTACCAAAACCTTGCCATGCAAACCCAATAAATCCTGTTACTACTGCACAGCCAAGTAGGCAGACAGCAGCCTGTTTTGTCTCTGTACCATCAACAAACAGGTAGTCACTTACAAAGTCCAAATCAGTTATAATGCATAACACAACACAAAGATGCCAGTGAGAGTATAATCTGAACATCAGGTGCTATATTAATAAGTGCCTGGTTTTGATTAGTAAAGCCTTTAATCCTGCTAAATGGTGCATGTAAGGCAAAGGACTAGATTAATTTTAGATCCCAGTTGAGCTTGGAAGGCTGAACTGAGCTGATCTGATGAACAGCTGATAAACATAGACAATCACAATGTCATTTTAACAGGATCTCTATGAAAATGAATAGTCTTTTCCTTGAATGGCTGCTCACAGCTCATCTCTAGAAATACAGCTTCAGTTTTATTTTTCATTTCATGTACCAAAGTCGAGAGTGCATGCTTTAAAAGAGAAGCTATACAAATAAGTTCATAACATTAGCACAATGCAGTATGTCATTAAAAAGATAAGTAATAAGGTTTGGTAATAATGTGAACAGCTTGACTTTTCCCTGACTATTACTTAAGAACTTGAAATGTGAGGTGTATTGGAGTTAATGAAAACCACCCTATGTGAAATAATGACATAACATAAGGGCTCTGTGCCTTTTTATCAGCACAGCAAGAGCAGAAAATACATACCACCTGTTGACTGACCTCACATCACAATATTTTGATACTATTAATAGTTACATGCCTCAGTAATCTTGAAGACTCTGGTATATCAGTCCTGCTCATACTGTGTTTGGTGGGAGAATTAAGCCTCCCATAGGTTTCAGTAACTACAAAATGTAGCCTTAAACAGTGAACCTAGAAACCAGGATACGTGGTAATTTACTGAGCTGTCTGTGTGATTACAGTGGCGAAGTCCCTTGGCCCTTAGTTAAAAAAATTTCTTATCTCCATTAATTGTAATTAGGGTTACATGAGAAACAAAGTTTTGTTATTCTGTATTTAGAAATAAAGGATTTCTATTTAGAAGAAGGGGGAAGGTGGTGATTTTGTATGCAGCACTCATGCACTCACCTATAAAGTGGGAGTTGTAGCTAAGCCTCTGAGCTTGCAGCTGGAAGGGGGTGCTTGGTGGGTGTCAAGCTCTCTGCTAGCAGATCCAAAAAGGATTATAGTCTCAGCTTTTGTTATTTTACATTTTCAGCTGATGCTGGTAGCTCCTTTATTGTGTTTTACACATTTTATCCTTAACAGCAGGAGTTGACTGCTGCTTCCAATGCTCTGCTGACTTTCTTTCTCATCCCCTTGGTACTTTTTCAGACCTGCAGCTCCCAGTTGTCACCCCAGAGTGCTCCGGCCAGCCTGGGCTGTCAAGGGCCAGTGTCTCAAGCAATGTGTCGCAGGGCAGCGAAAGCACTGACAAGACACATACTGACCATCTGCAGTACTGGTGGAAGCAGAGCACGAGCGCACAGCTGTAAGCTAATGATACCCCACCCTTAGAAACTGCGAGTGCTTTGGCATGCAGTTAGTTGAGAGTCAGGGATGCAGAATGTAGCAACAGAGGAGACCACAGCAGATGGAGCATTTAGGTGCTTTGCATCTATTATATTTGCATAATGTTTTTTTCTGTACTAGCCAAGCTTGTATGTTTTGTGTGTGAACAGCTAAGTCTTTACGTTGAGGGCACTGAAACACCTAGACAGATAAATACAGACCCAGAGACACCCCTGAATATTTAGGTCTCACTGTGGCTGAGCTATGTCCTGCTCCCATCCCTGCCTCGCCCCTACCACAGACGCACATATGTAGTCCTTTGCACAAAGACCCTCCCTTAAGTGAAGAACCAAAGAGTACTTGAGAACTGGCTGTCCAAGTGCTGTTTCCCATGTTACAGTATCTCACAAATTTTATGCTCGGAGGACCTACCATTCTGCAGAAGGGGGAAAAAGGTCTCTTTAAGATAGATATTATTAGACTCTCTTAACAGATTGCAAAACTGAGGTCTGGAAAGGCCGCATTTTGCCAAAGATTACCCAGAAATGGGAGGATAGGCCTGTGCTTTTTACCAGTAGTCAGTCATAGAGACCTGTAATTTGTATAGTCATCTTCACATTGCATTTGCTATGAGGTAGATTGATACTTGGAGATTTTAACAGGCAGAATAATAACCACATTTGTGAACATGCCCAAGTATAGCTCAGATTTCCCCAAGTAATGAGCTTTTTAAATAACAGATTTTTCCTTTGGGTTTGTTTTTTTCTGTCCTGTTTCTATGGCTGATTCTTTTTGTGTGGACTATGGGAGCTGTAGGCCAGTATCTAGAGAGCCATGTCACTTCCAAGACAAAGTTAGCTTGCATAATTCTTTTATGTTTAGCTGATTTATTATGGGTTATTCCTAGGTGTCATAGGCTTTCATAATATTTGGAATTATAGTTTATGGCTTTCATTAGGGAAAGCATGCAGTACCACGTTTGTGTTCTTCATTACATTGAAGAAACTATTGCACACAATAGTGCAGTCTTTCCGTAGGGTTGTGGGGTTTTTTTTCTGAATTCACTACAAATCAGTGTTAAATCTGGATACTTTGACTATGCACTTCTGTTATTTAAGCTGCTTGGATTTCTTTAACATTTTTACCTTCTCTCTGAATGTCCTAGGTTTGCAACAATTACAATATGCCCACAATTTACCCATATGTACTCTCAAACATAACTACTTCCTAACATAGTTATTTTCTATGCATGGAAATTAAGATTTAAAAATTCTGAAAGCAATAAAAAGACTTGATGTAAAGCTTTGTTCCAGCCTGCTTGGTTTCATCTACTCTGTTGCTTAACTCAGGGGAAAAAAGGCTAATTTCCTATTTCTGCTAATTTCACTGTTTCACTATTTTCTTATAGTTCATTTGCCTCCTTTGCAAAAGCACTTCATTAATGCTATGTATTTTTATTACTTTCCAGGAATCAAGCATCAGCTTCACCAGACCACAAGGACATCCTTAAAGCTCAAGACCTTTCTGTCATCATCAAAGCATATGTGCTTGTGACATCCTTAACACCTCTGCGGGCATTCATTCATTCAACTACCACTGTCTGGCATCCGCCCAAGAAGAAGCACTTTTCTGTAAAGGTAACACATTTCATTTCCTAATTTTTCCATCTTTCAGGCAAAGTACAGAGACAGAAAACCAGATAATATCTTTCTTCTCTTTTACCCCTTCTTTATTTGCAGTCCACAGCTGACAGTGAATATTCTCTTAATATAGGACTTTCATTTCTCAGAATGAGTGGTGTTTGCTTCATGAAGCAGGGAAGAGTTGCCCTGTGCAGTGGGGGTTATGAAGGGATTTGCTTACCTCAGAGCCCATTTTTATTGGTGACATTTGACAGCAGTTGCGAGATTGGAGTTTTCTCCAAAGCACAGCAGTAGGGGTGCTGTCATGCAGTAATCTCTTTTGCCTGGATATTGACAATGTTGTAAAAAAGGAAGGTAAATATTTAAAATAGTTTGTTCAGATTTCTTTTTTTAGGTGCAGTAAAACATGGATGGAGGGTCAGGGCACTTCTAAACAAGGGGAAGGAAGTATACCATGCAGAGGGTGGGCCTCCCATGGTCTCGGTGTTATGAAGAAGGATGCCTTAATTGGATTAACTGTGGATATCTCCAAGTGCCTGCAGAGATCCACCTCTAGTTTGCTCAGCAGTCCTATGGATTTCCAAACATGCCTTCCCATTCCTTTGTTCTTTCAGCAAGGAACTATGCTTGCAATGTGGCAGCTCTTCGTGAAGGAACTACAGTTCTGCGGCTGTTCCTTTCCTTTTGAAGGAATAAGGTCAAAAAATAGCAATTTCTTGAGGTCACATAGATCAGCTCCTGCAGCCATCTGAGGATTGGTGCACTTTGCCCATGTAGCCCTCTTGGGGTAGGAGCAGGTCATGGCTTTGGGTCAGTCTGAGTGTTGTGGTGTCACTGCCAGGACTGTTGATGATGCCAACCAATTGGTATGTTCTACAGTTTTAGCTCTCTCAAAGTTAAGTGCCTAGTCTAAGCTCTTTATCTGATTCTAGTTATTGGAGAAACAGACACTGCTAGAGAACAAATCATTCCACCCAATTTAGACACTGATTTTGGAATGAAATGAGTTTTCTGCTAAAAGTGTCTGCTTCCTTCTGTGGGCTATGACATTCTTAGAGAACATGCCAAATTCTAGATTTCCAAAATTAGGTGAGATGAACCTACTTCTCTTTATTTTCCCCCTTGGAAGCTATGGAAGCCCATGGAGATATATTATTTTTACATTTATTTTCCTCTGTTTACATTTAGGATGACTAATGTTCACTCACTTTCAAACCTTGAGGTTCAGTATTGTTTTATGTTTATTAAAATAGCACAATGCCTAGCAGCGTCACTATCGCAGCTGAAGTAGGGACTACTTTAAAGGCTAGTAGTCATTAGTAATTGTGATATGGCTCTGTAAAATAATTCCCACTGAGGGAAGTCTGCTGAACAGGGTGCTGGCCACCATTTACAGAGCACTTTGGCAGCTGAAGAAGCAATAAAAATGATAGATAGAAGCAGCAGCACATCTACAATAGTTCCAATCTGGTTACTGCTGCTGTGGTGTTATATCCTCCACAGCTTTAGGCAGACTTGTCAAAATGGCAAGAAATAAACAAAAAATAGGCACCACAGAAAGCACATTTGTAGTGATGTATAGATTGAAATGCAAATTAAGAGAATGATGGAAAGTAGGGTGTATAAGACTGTCTCTCAGCATAAACAGTGTGCCCTATAAAGAACCTGGGAGGAGTCGGGGAGTCTGCAGGAGAAGAGAGACACTGGGAATTCATGGAGTGGCCAGAAAGCACTACTGGGAAAATCATAAAGAGGCTTCTGTGCTTGGTGCAGAGGCATCAGGCAGGAGATCATCAGTCAGAAAACAATACTTGGGAGAAGGCTTGAATTCAACCGTTGATATCCTTTGGGATAAGATTACATCAAGTTTCTCGCAAACATGGAGCCATCACTTCTGTTGCTAGTGGGATGTACAATGCCAGCAGAGTGATGTCCTTTCCCAATGTAGCCAGTGGAGCTATGTGAGTTTGTACCAGCCGAGGAACCTGGTCCAGAAGGCTCCTAAGCCTTCAGTTTCTGCCAAGTCTATTGTGTAGGAAGGAAAATTGCTTGTTAGATTGTGAAGGTCCAACCTGTCAATAGTCAATAAAGACAGAAAGGATGTCTAAGACCTGTTCTTCCACTGATTGACAGAATACCCATCAGTGTCACTGGGGACTGAACATGCCTGTAGAGGAGACTTAGGTCTGGAAAAATACGCTAGTGTTTGATAATGTTTTTCCCAAAAGCAGCTGGCAGAATTATTTTTTTTTTAAATGAACTGATGAGAATAATTTTAATCTGCTGCATTGCCATCATAGATGTGCTGCTTTCAGTAATGCTGCACAATAATTGAGACCTCTTCAGTGTATATAGGCCTCTGGTCAGCAAATTTTCTCATACCAGTATAATTGAACTATTATCGATGAGAAATTCATCCACAATTGTGGTTAACTTGGTTACAACATTACTATCAGAAACTCAGTATGTTAAGTTCAAAATTTGATCCCCTATGGACAACAACACTTTATGGTTGCTAGAAGTAACCAGAATGTGGTTATATGAAGGAGAGCTTTTTAGAAAGGCTGGAGATGGGATACCAGGTAATATCAAATGATTAAGAGAAACTGTGTAAAGAAAAACCAGGAGTTTAATGAATTAAATAATACTGCATTCCCAACTGCTTCTTTGTTAGTAAACTATTTTAAAACTCATATTTACTTATCCTAATCACAGTGGCAAGGCTTCAGAATGACTCCTTGAATAAGCATTGGCCAAGTGGCAGTTCAGGAAGAGTTCAAGTGTGTTTTGCTTACCAGCTGCCAGGTTTTCTCTGGATTATACATATTTTAGTATCTCAGTTCAGAAAGCAAAAGAAGGTAGATCCTGAGCTGGCATGGATTTTGTGTGTAGTCAAGGGGGGGCAAAATTGCGACGCTAGATTTGGGCCCTGGTTGCGGAGGTGCAGGGGAAAGAGTGGCTTTCTGCCACACAAATATTTTGATATGAGACTTGCGTAATAGCCTTATTTCCCTGAGGAAATTTGGAAACCCCTTATTTAGACCATCTGTGCGTTGAAAAATTAATAATAAAATAGAAACTTTCTATTTTGCATATGGTACCAATTAAGGGATGGGTCTCTGTCAATGTATGCAATAATTCCCTTAGTGTTAATGGACATTATGCATGTGTATTGAGCAGAAGGCTGACCCCTGAATAATTTTCTGTTTTATAGAGGCTGGTGTGCGAAACAGTCATTTATGATTAATTATCTCAAGGTTTAACACACTGTGAAGTGCTTCCTTTGCCCTGCCATTAACCTTTCCCAACCTGGCCCCAGTTCTTAACGAAGGGATGCACTTCCGTAGACTGTAGCGGTGCTATGTCCTGCATCACCTGGAAAGGCTCTTCGGTGCTGTTGGCAGCTTCCCACAGCCCGTGCTCTGGCTCACCATCCCTTTGCTCATCCGAAATAGACAGTCGGGTGCCTCCTGGATTTGAATTCCTTGACTGGCGTTCTTGCATAAGCCTTAATACCCTCCCTCTGCTGAAACTATGCTCTTAAGTGATTTTCCAGTTGTGCAGTGAAGTAAACATAATTTATTAGAGCAGTTTGCTGTTAAGATTGCTGTGGTGTAAGTCACTATAACTATCCCTGAAACTCTGTCTCTGTGTATTAAGCATTTGGAAACTTGAGTAAAAAGAAATATTTTTTATACTTAACATGTATGCAAATAAAACTGGACTCTCACCTACCCAGGAAATACACCTTTTAATACGACGTGGAGGTCTGGCTTAGAGCCGAACACGGTTTAAATTAGGTTGCAGTATTGCCCTCAAGTGGCCAGTTTTGATACTACCTCAAGTAATAGCTACAGATATTTAATGTGCGGTAGACTGCAAACATACACGTAGATAAAGTGCAAAATGCTTAGAAACAGCAGAAGGGCTCAGGATTTTTTCTTTTTGTTTTATTTTTTAATTCCATATTCTTGCCCTGTTACCTAGCAGGACCAAATATAAAAGAAAGTGACCATCGACTCTTAATCAATTAGATTCAGGGTTATTTGGGAATAAAATTAAATTTGTTCATTAGGTTCTGTAAGAACTTAGCATATGTGTTTCACTGTTCTTGCAAGTAGCCTGTGTAGAGAATCAAATGCTGTAATGCTCCTCTTCCTGGGAGACTGAGCATAACATAAATGCCATCTCTGTTTTCTGTCCTCATGGTTTCTAGAGCCCTATCATTTCTCTTTTCACTGATATAAGAATGAAAGTCTGTCTGGACTGGGGGAGATCAAAGAGATGCTTAGTCTGACATTCTGTTCTGGCAATAACCAGGCAAGAAAGCATCATGAAACTGTGTAACAGGACAAGCATAAAGTGGTACTCATCCCTAGGAGACTATAACTATTTCCGGTAACCTGCAAGGTTAGAAACACAAAACTGGAAGTGGAATATATATCTTTATGTTTAATAAGCTCCAGTGGACTTTTATGCCATGCAATTCTCTACTAGATTTTTTTAATCCATTAATGCTTTTGGTATTCCCAACATCTTGCAGCAATGAGACTCTATAGATTATTTATGTGTTGCCTGAGAAAGAATATTTGTTTGCTTTAAAACTTCTACCTGATTACTTATTTTCATAGTCCTAATTCTTGTCTTAAGAGAAAGAGCGAGTAATCCTTCCTTCTTTACCTTCTCCACGTCTGTGCCAATCTGTCATGCAGTGCATAAATAAAGTTAAAATTCTTCCTGGAGTTCTTTTCTGCTCTTCTCATTATGAACATCCCAGTTTAGCTACTAAAAGCTCTAGATTGATTATTCTTTATAACATGTGGATATGTCATAAGTAAGTCTTTACACTGTTATCCAGGCCCTTAGCTCTCTGCTTTTCTCCTGGTCTACAGATCCTATTGCTCTCGCTGTTCAATCCAGGCAGCTCTCTAAGCATGCCCCTCTGTGGCTCCCAACTTTCCCAGACCTACCTCCCATTATCCTGATTCTTCTTC